GCATGCAGGGAAAAGTTTGTTTGCATTGTTTCAGTGAAAGCTGACAGGCTGCAGGCATATGATGCTTTTGGTTAGAAGGTCAGGAATAAGACGCTTCTAAAGAAATCTGAAAATCTGAAACAAAAATCATGCCAGGAACAAGATCTGTTGACTTGCAGCAAAACACACAAGGCCTTCCTGTAACTCAGAGGCGGGGTGACTAAAAGTAGGCGAGATGCTGGAGATAGTGGATTACTAGCTCACTGGAACATTCACTAATGACTGACTCACCAACACCTCAAAATCAGAGATATTAATCTAAACATCTGATCGGAGTGACGATTACATCGATGTGGGTCACAAAATATGGTTTGACCTGGTTGGGAGTGTAACATCACACCTGAGGAGCTGATGGGGGGGGGGGAGACAGGGCTGCGGAGGATTGCATAACAAGCAGTGCATGGCTCGGGGCACATAAACACTTGGAATGAGAAATTAGAGCAAACATGTTTGTGCGCCTGACCTTGTTAGCTCATCATCCTGTTTGAACACAATGACCTGTGGCTGGGACGGAGGCTCCATGATCACAGCGTAGGAAAAATAACCCCCCCAGGATAGGCTGATAAATATATCAGCCTCCTGAAGAAAAACATAGAGTGACGTATGACCAGAAAAGCAAACATGGTCACAGCAGAAGGACATGAAAAGTATTCACACCCGTGGAATGTTTCCACATTTTGATCAATTTACAGAATCAAACTTCAGTTTCAATATGAGATACAAGAAACACGTCGTAGAGAAGTGAAAGGAAAAGGATGAAAGCTTTGAAGCCTTTAGGGAACGTCTACGCCAGGTTTACACATCTATGAAATGTTTCTCTGTTGCTTAAAAAAAAAAAACCTCAAGCTCAGTCAGACTGATACAGAAGAGGATTAGGGCCACTGGACAAAAAAAAGGTTACTGATTTTAAAATTTTATTTCAGTTTACTATGGGAAAAAAAATCTGAATTCTGACTTTAATCTCAGAATTCTGACTTTTTATTGTCAGAATTCTGAGAAAAAAGTCAGAATTCTGAGATTAAAGTCAGAATTCTGACTTTAATCTCAGAATTCTGACTTTAATCTAAGAATTCTGACTTTTTATTGTCAGAATTTAGTGAGAATTCTGAGAATAAAGTAAGACTGACTTTTTTTGCGCCCCCGGGCGGAAATACGACACAAATCCGACGACAGATTAAAAAGCTTTACTCGTCATTAAAGAAACATTAAATATATCCTGCACAATATGTATCGAAATATCTTAATTTTGAAAACTTAATTTTTATTTGTTTTTTTATGTCTTAATCAAGGTCATTGGGTGGACGGGGGGGCACCCTAGCGCCCTCTATTGACCAGCTGCTACTGCTTAAGATTACTGTCGTCTGTCTTTTAAAGACATTATACAAAATAAATAGACAATTTATAGGAAAAAATTGCTCAGTGTGACACTGTCTTTAATTAGATAACTTCTTTTTTTTTTTTTTTAGCTGCATATAAACTTATGTTGATCAGTTTATGTTGAATTATTGCCTTTGACTTTTTAAGAACTCAAGATTTCTGGGGAACTTCCCAACGCCAGGACCAAATTTTCCACCTGTTATCACATATTCTGTATGACAAGGTTTTACCATCCTGCTAGAAAAAACATGAATCATCAAAATATGCATGGATTGTTCAGAGAAGGGAAATTTTCAAAGAACTTCATGATCAAATGCTTTATTACTGACTTAAAGAGTAAGAAAGGTTGCCAGAGCAAACATAAAGGTAAAATGTTAAACGAATAAAAGCTAAAATAATACTGTTTGCAATCAATCAACATGCATTTGATTGTTTCCCACGATCATCCAGGAAACGTGAAGCAACCAGTTAAAGAGGAAAGTTGCAAAACACATTTCTGTCACTGCCGAAAACCTTTACTTATGACTTTACAGTTGTTTCTATGTCAGACTCTCCAGTTTAACAATTAAGAAATCCAGTTTGATTCAATGGAAAACCAGATGATATATATCCTGAAACTCCTCTGTGATGGTAACACATTTATCTCCAAGACAAAAACAGAATAATGTGACCATATTTACAAAATCTTACCATGTATAATCAGTGTATATAATAAAACATTTCTGCAGTTAGTACAGCCCTGGAAGGAACGTTTAAGAGAACCAACCAAAAAAAGATCTATAATGCATTTTATTTATATGCACTTTATAATTGCAAAAACAGATTATAAAGTGCTACAAAATAAAAGTTAAAACAGATCAAAGTAAATACAGTGTCAAATAAGAACAATTTCAGCAGAAAACATGCAGCGGAACAAGAATAAAGCAATTTAATATCCTAATCAAACATAATTAGTAGGCTTTTATGAATAAAATGTTTGTAAAAGAGTGGCGAGCTCACAGGTAGGCATCTACAATATGTTGGAGGAAATATATAGTCTACAGTGCAGTATTAATAGATTTTTCTATCTCTTGAATAGTTTAGATCATAAAGTATTTTAATGTCAACATGAAAAAAAAATAGCCCTGGATGAAATAGTTGTTTCCTTCCAAATCCTAAAAGTTTGCAGCAACATTTAAACAATTCAGAAATTAGTCTGTTATGTCATTGTGGGGGATATGTTCTCCTTTCTCTTTTGCTAAAATGTAGTTACTCAGCAACATTGTAGGATTTTCAAATGGCCTCATGACACAGCTTCTCATTTCATATAACGTCTCTTTCATAAAACATATTTAGAGATAGGCTTTGAATCACTAACTACTACAAATTAAAACTCAAGATCATAAATGACTGCTGGATAGACTCAAAGATCGTGTTTTAGTTTTACATCAGATGTATGCAGGGGCGCTGCCAGGAATTTGGGGCCCCATGAAAGACAATGATATGCCCCCCCCACCCCCCCCCCCAAATAAAAAAAAAATGCAAGCTTTAAAACTGCTATCAAGAATCACTAAAGCGTATCTTTTACATTTTCCAATGTAATTGTTATTGTAAAATTGTGACAAAGGAAAATTATCAGAACACGAAAAAGTTAAATATAAATTATTCCAAACGGCATATATCTGTGGTTAAAATACTTGGTTACTTCATTCATGGTTTGTTTTACTGTTTAGTGCTGAAAAAAACTGCTGGATTTTCTTTTTATAGTTGAAATATCTATTTGGACACATCTTCTCTTCTTCTTATGGACCCCACCTCAATCAAGGGCCCTTAGAAACTTTTCGCCCCTGGATGTATCTAAAATATAAATCCAAAATAAATAAACTTTTTTTCTCAGCCTCACCTTCCTGTTGAATAATAAGCTCTATGTGTCCTCTTGGAGTAATTTTGCTGGATGATCACTTCTGAGAAGATTTACCACTGGTTTATATTTTCTCAATTTGTCTCCATAACAGCTGTTGCTATGGAGATGACACCCTCCTGTTCTTTAGATACCAGTGAATTTGCTGGATTTTGAATGGGACTGAATCTGCTGTTCTTTGGGACTTTTCACTTGTCAGACAATTTCTATTAAAGTTATTTATAAATTCTCTAGCGGTAAACTGGCCTGAGTGTGACAAATGAAATGTAATGAGAAATTTTCTTGAGTCATGATTGATAAAGAAGGGCATTTGTTGTTTAAACTGGGCCCGGTTACTTTAGCTAGGTTCCACATTTTAGGAACCTAGCTAAAGTAACCTGGGATCCATGATTCCTTGTAACAACAGACTTTATTTGAGAAATATTTATATTGACATAAATACAGCTCATTTGAAAATGAAATACAGTAAAATGTTTAGTTTTATTAATTTGAATAAAATATTGTGACACGTTTATCCTGCAGTGCTTTCAGGGAAGATGGCACATGCTAGCTCCTGTAGCATTAGTTCCTTCCAGCCAAAACAGCAACGAGTAACATTGAAACTTTTTCACACCTGGAGCACACTGACGTCAATAAAAAAGTATAAATAATACAAGGTGTTAAAGATGAGGAGGAACAAATGGAGGAGGAGGATAGATGGCTGAAGTAGCTTTGTGTGGCTTCTGCTAGGAGATGCTAACCAAGATAGAGAATAGCTTCAGTTTGTAACTGAGACTTTTTATGGTTAGGATCAGAAAGAAAACATTTTCTCAGATATATTATTAAAATTAGTTACAACGCCTTAAAGATGTTTCATTGTCACTTTAAATGAGCGCTCATTCTCCCCTGATTTGGTTTTGATTTCACATTAGCTAAGGCTAACCATGTTAGCTCTAGCTAATATGGTTAACAGTAGATCAAAATCTGATCACATTTGTAAAAAAATATATACATTTGTTGAACTAAATATAAGTTTTTATGTATCATAAACTATAATTTTTAAGTTAATAGTAAAATGTAAGTATATTGGCCCGACATGTTCAAGTAGACGTGGATCCTTTTAGGAAATTACAAAAATATTTGTGTAGTTTCTGTATTTACTAACTATTCTTGTGTGATGTTAACACTTCTTATATGGCATGACTTGTTTAGGTGTGAAAAAAATAAAATAAATTAGTGAGTTAAAAATTTTCAAAGCACACTTTATTAATGCAAATAAGCAATAAGCCAGTCCATTATTGAGTGAAAGCCAACACCCTCCTCTATCTCACTTTAAGCCTTTATTTATTACCCCAAAGCACTTGCTTGACTAAATAATGCTGTAATAATGAAGACTGACAGGTATAACTGTGACCGAAGTTTCTACCAGTTTATTACAGAATATATGTGGAAGCTAAGAGAACAGAATAGCTGAAAGTATCCTCAGAGGTGGGGGGGTATAAAAAGAGTCAAGAAAGTGGCAAAAATACATCCATAAATAGGAATATGGAAACAAATATTAGAACCACAATCCTGATTCCAATAGGAATCACTCAATGATGAGTTTGACCAACTGTAATGGCAGCTGGTCAGAAACTCATAATTTAACTACACTGAGCGGGAGCATGTGACTCTGAAATTAACAACCTTCAGAGAGGATGTCGTCACTAAGAGAAGATTCCAAATGAGATATCTTCAGCATCAGTGATGTATTTCACGTAAAAGCAGAGAAACAGCTGTAATTTCCTTATATGTATACTGATTTCAATCAATCAATCAATCAATAATCTTATTATCCCTAAAGGCGGGCATACACTGTACGATTCTTTGCCCTTTTTGGATAGATTCTCCAGTCATGCGAGAATTTTCCGATAGGCCCTACTTTCAGCCTGATCGTGCGTCGTGTAGTGTACAGGGGGTAATGAGGGGCGATCAGCCTCTCACGACCACCTCCCGATCAGGAATCATAAAGTCGGGAAAAAAAATCAAACATGTTTGAAATTTAGTCAATCGCTCAGTGCGCAAACAAGGATTTTTTTTCTTCTTCTTCCTCTTAGATGAAACACAGAAACATGGCGGGGGTGTGGTTGAAATTGAGTTCTTTCTGTAAAATTGACAGACCGTAGTAGCCATGTTTGCTCAGCTGTGTTTTTGTCCAAAAAAATCGTCACCTTTTCTTTTTAGATCTTTTAGAACACAAAATTGCACAAATTGCAAAGGCAGCACGTTTCACTCTAATAAGCTTCATGCTCCTTTTCTACATGTTTGGCTTCCAGATAGACGAGCCCGAGTAGCGCCATTTCACTGTGGTCCGACATGGTTTTTAGACGTATAGTGCAAGCAGGTAAATCGCAACATAGCGTCAGGCCACAAAGTATGAGAACATACATCATGAGCTGTGAGCTCACACTGTCCGAGAAAACTCTGTGGTTTCCTTGGACAGTGTGAGCTGTAGCTTTGTGCAACAATTGAAAAAAATCGCACAGTGTACGCCCGGCTTAAAGACAGCAATTGTTGTGTAGCATAGTAGATATAAAAACACAGTCAACCCGACATTAATGCCATACCGAAAAACAAAGATCAGATCATATAGAGCTACATTGTGTAACTTTTAGCCACTAGGGGCACTAGCAACATTGACAGGCACAAAATTAAACCCTTTCTCCCAATGTTCTGTAATCTGATATCCAACCACAATGGATAAGCAGGCTGAGAATTTATGGAATTCCTTGTAAAGGTAACATTAACCGCTCTAGATTAAATCCTACATCCCAGAACGAAAAATATGTCTGATCCGGTAAGCCTCATATCTGTTTTGTTGCACAACAACAGCTTTCAGCTTGGGTAGCTGCGATGTTTAAAGGGAGCTCAGACGGCCATAAAGCGGCGCTCTGGGTCACATGACGCACTCAGTGATGGAACCAATGGATACGCACCAAGTGCTGTACATGAAAAATCATTTAGTATATATGAAATGAAGCTAATACTTGGGTCAAAAGTTACACAGTGTTGCGTGAAAATGACAGAAAAACAAAACGTCAGAGAAATTTCTGACTGTAGGAACAAAGGATTGTTTTAAATCTACACCTAAAGGTAGCTGGAACTAATTACTAAGATGTTCTGCTCATCTTTTAGACATGGTACCTGGTCCTTTTCAGCAGAGATTGATTAACACAGTTTTTTTAAGGGAAATGCCAATTATTTTGACATCAATCTAATTCATCCAGATTTTGTACTGCTGGTCATTTTTTAGGTTGATTCTTCGAGCCGTTTCTTTTTTTCCTCCAATACATGATAAAATGTCACAATGATAAATGTTACACAAGTCTCAAATTAAACAAAAAAAAAACTACAAAAAAAAGAAAATAAACATGCTAATATCATCCGAAATTATTGATGGGCCGAAGTGTTGGTCTGTTTCTACTGTACAGGTGAGGAAGCTCCTTCAGGTTTATTTAAACCATTTTGGTGAATGTTTTTCTTTATTGTGAAGTCTTTCCTAACTTTGACAGATAAAAGTTCAAACCAACAGAAAAAGTTGAAAAGAACAAGAATAAAACATCTGCATAAAGATGGGATTGACCGTAAAAACCCAAAGAGAGTCCACATACGGTTAACAGGTCATCCTGTAAGCGAAGCTGCTCTGTTTTATCCCTCTTAGCGTGCAAACTCTCTCTAGACTGGGAAGTGTTGGCAGCTTTTTGGAAATCCACAATGAAAGGATCCACATGCTACATGGAACAAACTTCCAGGTGATCATTTCCAGATTATCACTACTGGTGAATGTTAATCCATGGCTGCCTAAGGCATCAGCTGACCCTCACTGGCAGCAGAGCTTCTCTCTCCATTTGTCGCTTTGTAAAGCCCGGCAGACCCATCATCCACTGACAGGATGTCATTATTCTGTATGTTCCTTATCAGTAGAACACAAACTCACTCTATCCTCAAGCAAACATGATAAAAGTAAGAGGCTTGACGATCTGATAGGCGCAGTGAGTAAGGGGCCTTGTTTAGGCATCATTTGATAATTATTCCTTAAGAGCTGCAACGCTTTAGGCCCTCATGCAAACTGTTTGGACCTGATGCTTTGATGAACTGTCAGACATCTGCCCGTTCTTTGGTTTTATCTTTATTTAGAAGGTGTATGTAAAAAAACAAAAAACAAAAAAAACATGTAGACCCCACGGAGGAGTTTAGGCAAGTTGGTTTTAAAACTATTATCAGGCAGTTACATAAGAGTTTTAAAAAGCAAGGGGGGTGTATTGAGCTACAAAACGGTGCAGGACTTCTTGTCCTTGAAGGGGTTCTCTGAAGTCGGGATGCCCATTAGCAGAGGGTCGTTCTTGGCGTGCTCTCCACAGTAGCGCATCAGGTCCGATGAAGCCTTGGACACCTGCAGGAAGCCAATCCACATTAGAGATCCTTAAAAGATATTAACTGTCAAATACATTTTTTCTCATATTTTCATAAACTGCACTTCTGAGAAAAATCTTTGAAATTTAGAAATCACATCGATATCCCTGAAAATCAACTGACATCTAATGTTTTTAGATGCCAAGAAATAGGTAAACAAAGATGCCTCTCTGTCTGCACAGATGAGACAAAAATGTACCTTAATGGTTTAAAGGCAGAGAAATGTGTGGCAGGACACTTATGCTGCGTTCACACCGGAAGGCAGCAGGCGCGGCAGAAG